TCACCGTGTTTCGACCGCAGAAACGAGGAAATTGCACTGCCGCCGGAATATTATTCTAGGAGAGACTAGCGCGATTCTCACCTTTTCGATGGAAAATGCCGATCGAGATCACGGCCAATAACGCCGGAGGACGAACTTGAAGCAATGCGACGCGTCCGCTTAGGTCTGGCCACTTCATTTATATGAACTAGTGTCGTTCGTATTGGAGTGAGAGGGGAAAGATCGTGGGTTGATGCGGGAGCAGAGGGGAAAAAAAAGACAGACAAGTAAAAATCGAAAGTGAAAGTAGTGCCCGGATATAAGACCGGAACCGAGCGGTTTTGAATAAAGAGGGACGAATAAGAGCGACGAGCAACACGGAGTTTCTGGACTTTCCCTGAGTGATCCATGATGAAGCTGTGCGTCATCGCTCTGCCTCTTTCGTTTTCTCTCGTGTTCAGCTCGTATCCACACCTACGCATCCACGTCTGTGTATATGTGTGTGTGTGTGTGTGTACGTCTTCTTCGATTTGATGATCCGGCCCTTTCCTAGAACTGTTTCACCGCGTAACAATCTCTTCTAACTTGTGTCGTAAACGAAATTTCACTGAAACTCGAATACGATTTCTGGGTTATTAATTCGACGTGTGAAACGTGTGGTTATATAACAGTTATATAGTAATTTCACGGTGGGATAGAACATCTTCCGCGAGAGAAAGAGAGGAGATATCTTAGCACACTCACAGCGTTTTATTGACGCACTGTACAAGAGTTGCGTTGATCCGCGTCGGATCGAGTCTCCGATCCCGATCGAATAAATAAATAGATCCAGTAATGGTGGGCACGGGCGTTCATTCACCTCGCACGATCGATTAATAAATTAACAGCCGCGAATTTCTCGTAGCCAAGAAATAAATATCTAAGTCCGCGGGAGAGTGGACCACGCCAAGTAGGAATTGAATTAGCATCGTGGCCCCAAGCTCCCTGTCGTACAATTATTCGCTACGCTATTGAAATTAAACCGCTAAATCGCGAATCACTGGGTTTCTCGCGACACCTCGCGATTTTCCGCGACGACTCGATCGAATGTAATCGAGCATCTCTGCTACCGTGGTGATCGAACGTTACGTTAGTACAGTTCGAAATATATATTGAATTCCACGGGAACACGCCCATGAAATTATTTCCTGGTAAATTGTGCGTGTCTCTAATCGCGTATACTTATTTGTCGGACCTACTTCTGACCACGGTATAAGTCGACTATTACGTAAGTGCGTAACATTCGAATGCCGGTAATGATACACCGGGCTATCCAGCTATCATCTACCGTTATCACGGTCCACGTAATGATCGTCATTTGTTTCCTTCGTCTGGCCTACGCGCGAAATTATTTTATGTTAAGCGTCTTTAACTCTGTCTTTCATTTGATCGATTGATATGTGAGTAATTGGCCGAGTGAGAATCTGTCGTCGTGCACGCAGGTAACCAGGTACGCAGATAAATGACCTTGAGCCTCGGTGAATATGATCTTTTGAATATTCTGAACGGCAACGAATCTGAAAGTATATGTAAGGAGATCTCGTACAATGTTGCGTTTAGATCAAACGAACGAGTGCTCAATTTACTACGTTAACGTAGCTCGATACGAACACGACGAATCAAATTCGTTCGTTTGGTTCAAACACATCATAATCGTAACTAGGCGCCACTGTGACCACGCGGAGATTTCAACGCTCGCATAGAAAGCGTTCCTCGAACTATTCTTTCATCAGACTCGTAAATGTCGAAAATTTGATTCAAATTAATCATCGGAACTCTTTCTAATTCGATTTTCTACGATCAAAATTTTGTTTATTCGCAGAAGAAGAAAGTTGTCAGTTAATTGTTAATTCTTTAATTTGATTTAAAATCTGGCAACTACTGATAACTGTTACAAATAAGTGCATCTACGGAACGTAATAGCAACTGAACTTTTCAAAACTTCTCAAGTTTTCAAATTACACGAGTGGAGCATAGATTACGCAGAATCAAAATAATCGAGCATCGAGTAATTAAATATTTGGGCTACGTTACTCAATGATCGTGTAAATAAACAAAGCACGGACAGAAATAATGAAAAGAAAAGGAAAAAAATCACAACTTAAGTAGATTCGCTAAAGTGCCATTCAGACTATTTTCAGGAACTGCAATTCGCTCAAAGTCCTCGTACCTCGTATATCAAAAGTACAATCAACGACAATCAAGGAATCGTCTCACACCCAACTGAACAGAAACAGAAAATCCTTCGACTGCGATCATTCGACAGCTCTAGGATTGAATCCTCGCTGCTCTGTCTCCTCTCTTATAGCTTCCTCGCATGGACGAGCTTGTCAATGTCCTGATAAGTAGCCAACATCGCCTGATTTTGCCTGAGAGTCTGATCTTGTTGCGCGACCGCGCAACTTGCGTACGCGTCCTCGCACTTCACGCCGTCTTGTCCATCTTTCGCGGCCTTCATGTACCGGAAGAACCTCAGAACGTCGGGGTTGTCGCTGCTGGGTCTTCTCAGTTCGTTCAACTCCCTGGACAACTGCGCCGAGACCAAATTCGAGTACGGCGCGTACCTGGCGGGACTCCTGTACATCGCGCACACCGCGTATTCTCTGCAGCCCTCTGTCGTGTGGCCGAGGCGAGAGAAAACGGCGTCCAGACGTGATAATAGGGGAGAGTAGAAAGGATCGTAGTTGGTTAGCAGCAGCGAACTCGTTGGAATCTCGTGGAACACCTGTTACATTTTCGAGAGAAGTTTTGTAATCTTTGCAGAATATCTTGAAATGTTGATAAAAAAGTTTTGCAATTCCTGCAGGACATTTTGTGACTTTTAAACTGGAAATTTAGGTTGGTAACTGTGAAAGTTTCAAGTGAAAATGTGTCAGTCTCGAGACGAGAGATCTAAACGATCAAGTGAGGTTTAAAAATTCGTCAAAATTTTGAGACGAGATAATTCTGAGTGAATATTAATATAAATAAGATCTTCGATGAATGTAATAACAATTAACGATTGAGATTGAGATTTGTTAGGAATTTAAAATGACGAATGAAACGTTGACAATTGCATTGAAATTCAAGAAAGGAATGAAAATGCAAATACAATGTTACGACAGTTTTTAATTTCCCGAGTTGGAAAATCCGTCAAAAAGAGTAATATTACCTTAAAATCTTGCTTCTTAGAAAGCCCATGGGCAGCAACGTGCCTGGTGTAATAACGATCAGCAACAGCATTCGCGTGAGTGATTTTAGGATCGACGTAGGAGTATCTAGAAGCGATTTCTGGAGTTTTCTGAGACTGCATCATACTTTCGTCGTACATCGCGGAGGCTGGCAACGTTCCTACCGGTTGTCGCGTCAAATAGTCGTCGTTGTACAGATCGGAGTTGTCCTTGAACTCGAAATTTTCGTCCGGCTGCGCCGTGGTGTGCGTCGATTGCGCAAACGATGAAACTCCTGCAAGAAAACTTTGATCAGTACTCGAGTCACAAAGCAAGACAGACAGATAAATTATTTATTAGTTACAATTGTCGTATAATTATTTGTTTATTGATTTATTTAATTTGTTTATTACTATTTAATTTGTACAGGGCGCCATCAATCTGTTGATACGAGAAAGAGGATAAATTTAAAATAAGACGAGAGAAAGGAATGAAATTTTTTTCATTGAG